GGCATATGCCCTTAGAAAGGACACAAACCGTGCTCGGTTTGACTCGCTTGGATCCGAACGCCACACGCTCTCTAGTTCCCTCTTCCTTCGCTTCATCACTGCCAGCTCCTCAGTAAACCAAGGGGCTGGTTTAGCTCAGCTACTTGAGAGGGGACGCTCCGGAGCGATCATGTCAATTGCCCTGGTCATCTCCCCATTCCAGAGAGCGACCAAGGCCTCGACATGGTCACCTACCGAGGGGGCAGGAAAATCCCCAAGAGCCGTCAGGAATCCATTCGGATCCATCAGTCTCCTGGGGCGGACCATCTTAATGGGTCCTCCACCTTTGCAGAGGTTAGGGGCGCAGTGAGCCTAAATCTGATCAGGAAGTGGTCAGTCCATGGCAACGGAGAGATGGACAACTCCTCCACACCGCCACCCTGCTCCCATCCCTGGCAGAAAACCAAGTCCAATGTATGTCCAGCACAGTGGGTGGGGCCAGATATTTGTTGGGACAGCCCCATGGTTGCCATGGCAGACATGAAGTCCTGAGCCGCACCTGAGAGGGCGGCATGGATATTGAAGTCCCCCAGCACAAGAAGCCGTTGAGACTCCAACGCCAGGCTCGAGACTACCCCCGCTAGCTCAGGTAGGGAGACTGTAGTGCAGCGAGGTGGACGGTACACTAACAGAATCCCTATTCTGTCCCGGTCACCCACCCTTAGGTGGACACATTCAAAATTTGTGGTCTGCGGGATGGGACTCCTGGTCAGATGGATGGAATCTCTATAGACCACTGCGACCCCGCCTCCCCGTCCTCCGGATCTCGGTTGGTGCTGTACGGAGAAGCCTGGAGGACAAAGCTGGGTAAGATTTACGCCCCCAGCTTCATCCAGCCAGGTCTCCGTAATGCACGCCAGATCTGCCCGCTCATCCAGGATTAAGTCCTGGATCCAGGTCGTTTTTCCGTTGACAGACCTGGCGTTCAGCAGCACCACCTTCAATCCGGAGGGCCCGCTCACCTGGTTACACCAATATACCTTAGGAGACCGGTTTAGGGTTGTTAATGTTGGTAAGCGGTCCGAATTAAGCCGAATTTGAGGTCTCCTTTTTCCGCATCTCCTCCTCCCCACCACGACCTCTATGGGGGCCCCTCGGCTAGTGGAACACCTCCCCTCCTCCATGCCGCAGTCCAACACCAAGGTCTTATTTTCAATATCGCTCGAAGTTCGGATTGTTGGCCTTTGCCATCTCCCTTGCCTCCCTTCCTCCCCCCTCCCCGCCCCATCCTTGTTCACAGGCTCCAGCCCTCCTCCTCCCCTGCCCCCTCCACTAGTCAGCAGTAACAGGGACAGAACAAATAGGGGGATGGGGAGCCACATGGATAACAATAGATTCAGGTGGGGCTAGGCGTTCAGCCACACCAGTTAAACAGTTCGTAAAGTGCAAGAGACTTAAATGCCACCCAGTCAGTAATATCACTCAATCAACAACATACTGCGTACCGTTGGGCACATACATAAAGTGCAAGATCTAAGGTGCAGTACATAAAGTGCAAGATCTAAGTGCAATAGATACCCAAACTGGTTCTCTCAATTAACTAAAGTGCGGCATAGAGGAAAAGGATGGGGGCGTAGTGCTGGTATAGTTTAGCAGCAGTGGCAGGCGCCTTAAAGTGCTATTGCGTTCTTGATCAAATTAGCAGCAACGACAACCGAGGGGTAACTGAGGTAGTGATATGTAATCACACTCTCACCAGGATGATGGTAATAGCAATTGGATAAGGTTGTTAAAATTGTTATGACGAGGAGCAGGGCCTTCTCAGTGGTGGCCCCTCACCTGTGGAACTCACTCCCGGGGAAATTAGGGCATCAACATCCCTCCTCTCCTTCAGGAGGAAAGTAAAGACGTGGTTGTGGGACCAGGCCTTTGGGCAATCTGACAACTAGATAAGGACAATCAAACGACTAGGACTGACAGGACTGACAATGTGGAATTGGAATTTGGACTATGAGATAGCGAACACTGACCGTCTATGAGGAGTAATTGGGTTTGTATTGTTTTATTGGTTTTATTGGTTTTAGGGTTGTAATGCAGGAATTGTTGTTTAACTGTTCAACTGTTTAACTGTTTAATTGATGTTATTTTGTTTTACTACTGTTATGTGATGCTGGCATCGAATTGTGCCTTTGTAAGCTGCCCTGAGTCCCCTTCGGGGTGAGAAGGGTGGGGTAGAAGAAACCGAAATAAATAAATAAATAAATAAATTATAGAGCTGTGATGAAAGATCTAGCAAATTCTTAGAGAATCCGTAGGTCTTCCAGCACTAAACTGTGCTATGCTGAAACTGGAAGTGAAGTAATCCAGTGGCATTTGGTTGTGTGCGTGTTTTCAGATAACCACAGCCGAGCTGGAAACATATTCACCATTAATACTGCCTTACTGTATTTTGCTTTTGAAAACTTGTTCACCACCATAGATTCCCATGAAGGAAGGAAGACAGGATATAATGTAAATAAGTAAATTTGTGAGAGGAGAGTTTCAGGTGCCAGTTGACTATTTGATGATGTGGGAAGAGAGGATAAAGAAAGTTGGATTAATTTGTTGTATTGTCAAAGACTTTCATGGGCAGAATCACTGGGTTGTTGTAGGTTTTTCGGGTTATATGGCCGTGTTGTAAAAGCATTATCTCCTGACGTTTCACCTGCATTTATGGCAAGCATCCTCAGAGGTTGCGAGTTCTGTTGGAAACTAGGAAAATTGGGTTTATATATCTTTGGAATGTCCAGGGTGGGAGAAAGAACTCTAGTCTGATGGAGTTAGGTGTGAATGTTTCAATTGGCCACCTTGATTAGCATTTGATGGCCTGACAGTTTATAGGTGTGGCTTGTTAGTGCCTGGGGGAATCCTTTGCCGAGAGGTGATTTTAAACAGAGGGATGGCCATCTGTCAGGGGTGATTTGGATGCAGTATTCCTGCTTCTTGGCAGGGGGTTGGACTGGATGGCCCATGAGGTCTCTTCCAACTCTTTGATTCTATGATTCTATGATTAGCTGTCCCTGATTGTTTCTTGTCTGGGGTTCCCCTGTGTTTGAGTGTTGTTCTTTATTTGTTGTTATAATTTTAGAGTTTTTTAATACTGGTAGCCAAAAGCATGTGAATAATTTCAACAGAAAGGAAGAAACCATGAAAATGAATAAAATCTGGCTACCAGTATTAAAAAAACCTCTGAAATCATAACAGCAAATAAAGACAGGATGCTCCAGACAAGAAACAATAAGGGACAGCTAATCTCCTCTCATAGGGAGCTGGGCTACAGGGAAGGCTGAGCGAAGGAAGAGAGATGCTTTTGAACTGTGGTGTTGGAGGAAAGTTCTGAGAGTGCCTTGGACTGCGAGAAGATCCAACCAGTCCATCCTCCAGGAAATAAAGCCGGACTGCTCATTGGAGGGAAGGCTCGATTCAAAGTGCTGGCGTTGGCCTTTAAAGCCCTAAACGGTTCCGGCCCAAGCTACCTATCTGACCGCATCTCTGCCTATGAACCAACCAGGAGTTTGAGATCTTCCGGGGAGACCCTGCTCTCGATCCCGCCTGCTTCTCAAGCTCGGCTGGCGGGGACGAGAGATAGGGCCTTCTCGGTGGTGGCTCCTCGGCTGTGGAACGCCCTTCCTACGGACATTAGACTAGCACCATCTCTAATGGTATTCCGCAAAAAGGTGAAGACCTGGATGTTTGTGCAGGCGTTTGAGTAATTTAGTGCAATCTGGTAATGGAACATAGGAATGGAACAAGGGACGACGAACCTGGACTACGCTTGGATGATGAGAAGATTGGGTACGGTTGTTTTTTGTAATAATTGTGCATTGTAACTGCTTATTGGTAATTTATGGATAATGTGTTAAGTCAATTGTTATATGTTGTATGGAACCACTGCTGTTTCTACTGTTTTTACTGTTTGTGAACCGCTGTGAGTCGCCTTCGGGCTTGAGATACAGCGGTATATAAGCAAAGTAAATAAATAAATAAATAAATAAATAATACTTGCCAAAGGAAAGCTTATAGAAGACAATGATGCTGGGGAAAATGGAAGGAAAAAGGAAGAGGGGCCGACCAAGGGCAAGATGGATGGATGGTATCCTTGAAGTGACTGGATTGACCTTGAAGGAGCTGGGGGTGGTGACAACCGACAGGGAGCTCTGGCATGGACTGGTCCATGAAGTCACGAAGAGTCGGAAACGACTGAACGAATGAACAACAACAATCTCCTCTCAACAAAGGATTCCCCCAGGCACTAACAAACCATACCTAAAAACTGTCAGGCCATCAAATGTTAATCAAGTTAGCCAATTGAAACAATCACACCTACCTCTAACACACAAGAGTTCTTACACCCTGGACATTCCACAGATATATAAACCCCATTTTCCTAGTTTCCAACAGACCTCACAACCTCTGAGATTGCCTGCCATAGATGCAGATGAAACATCAGGAGAGAATGCTTCTAGAACATGGCCATACAGCCCGAAAAACCTACAACAACTGAGATTAATTCATTGTTTTTGCTATTTTTTAAGATAGATAGCCATAAATGAATCTTTATTTTTCATAAAGGGTGTTGGAAATCTGAAGAAAATAGAGCTATTAAAAGATAATGTTCTGAAATGTCTTAAAATTTATCTGTCTTCTTGGTCTAGATAGCTTCCTCTCGCATTTCAACCTGAAACTCAAATGGGAAATGCTGGAGAAAACATGCTGCTGTGGTCGCAGCCCCTTTAAGCATTCTGCTATTGGTTAGGAACTAATTTTGCCTCTACAGACAGCAAGAACTCCGAATAACTAGTTGGAGCTGTTGTACTAAGGGACTTGTGTGAGCTTGTCACACAGACTTCGCCACATACCTTTCTGCCCGAGAGCGCTTCTTCTGGTTCATTTCACGCAGAGAACTGCGAAATCACAAAAACCTCTAATGAGATTCCACATTGTCACTAAATTAAAGAGCGATCACTTTCCAGTTTTTGTCTTCTCATTAATGCTCTTCTCCTGTGAGCAAGCGAGGGGTGAGAAAAGTGAGAGCGCCAAATTGTCACAGCTGGCACCGCAGCACTCAAAAATTAAGACACAAAGCCTAGCATTTATTTTGAAACCAGGGGCGATGTCTTATGAGAACCCAGGGCTCAACTGATTGTTTTAGAGGGTAATCTGTCCCTTTAGTGTTTTCTAGTTATGGGTGGAATGAAATAAAAGAATAGAAATAAGTCAAGGTCTTATTTATTCAGCCAGTGCAAAAGCACAGACTGTATGGGAAGGAGCACCTGTTGGGCTCATATTTATTTACTTATTTATTTACTTTGCTTATATACCGCTGTATCTCAAGCCCGAAGGCGACTCACAGCGGTTCACAAACAGTAAAAACAGTAGAAACAGCAGTGGTTCCATACAACATATAACAATTGACTTAACACATTATCCATAAATTACCAATAAGCAATTACAATGCACAATTATTACAAAAAACAACCGTACCCAATCTTCTCATCATCCAAGCGTAGTCCAGGTTCGTCGTCCATTGTTCCATTCCTATGTTCCATTACCAGATTGCACTAAATTACTCAAACGCCTGCACAAACATCCAGGTCTTCACCTTTTTGCGGAATACCAATTAGAGATGGTGCTAGTCTAATGTCCGTAGGAAGGGCGTTCCACAGCCGAGGAGCCACCACCGAGAAGGCCCTATCTCTCGTCCCCGCCAGCCCGAGCTTGAGAAGCAGGCGGGATCGAGAGCAGGGTCTCCCCGGAAGATCTCAAAGTCCTGGTGGGTTCATAGGCAGAGATGCGGTCAGATAGGTAGCTTGGGCCGGAACCGTTTAGGGCTTTAAAGGCCAACGCCAGCACTTTGAATTCAGCCCGGTAGCAGATCAGGAACCAGTGGAGTTGGAGCAACAGGGGGGTTGTATGCTCCCTGCGCTCCGCTCCTGTTAGAATCATGGCTGCCGAGCGTTGGACTAGTTGGAGCTTCCGAGCTGTCTTCAAAGGCAACCCCACGTAGAGAGCGTTGCAGTAGTCTAAACGGGATGTAACCAGAGCGTGGACTACCGTGGCCAAGTCAGACTTCCCAAGGTACGGGCGCAGCTGGCGCACAAGCTTTAGCTGTGCAAATGCTCCCCTGGTCACCGCCGAAACCTGGGGTTCCAGGCTCAGCGATGAGTCCAGGATCACACCCAAGCTGCGAACCTGTCTTCAGGGGGAGTGCGACCCCATCCAACACAGGCTGTAACCCTATGCCCTGTTCGGCCTTGCGACTGACCAGGAGTACCTCTGTCTTGTCTGGATTCAATTTCAATTTGTTCGCCCTCATCCAGACCGTCACAGCGGCCAAGCACCGGTTCAGGACCTGGACAGCCTCCAGGATGTGACCATATTGTGCATTGGATGTGACATGTCACTGGTCCCATTCTCAAGATTAATCCAATGGTAAATTCAAGAGTTAAATAATAATAATAATAATAATAATAATAATAATAATAATAATTTATTTATTTATTTATTTGTTTGTTTGTTTGTTTGTTTGTTTGTCGTGTCAGGGCAACCAGTCAATTATGGTACATTTCTAACAGAACAAAGCAAACAAACAGACAAAATACAAAATTTGTGAGTTTGGTAGTTGGTTAAATGTCCTTTGACCAGTATCTGGTCACTTGGAGTGCTTCTGGTGTTGCCGCAAGAAGGTCCTCCATTGTGCATGTGGCAGGGCTCAGGTTGCATTGCAGCAGGTGGTCAGTGGTTTGCTCTTCTCCACACTCGCATGTTGTGGATTCCACTTTGTAGCCCCATTTCTTAAGGTTGGCTCTGCATCTCATGATGCCAGAGCGCAGTCTGTTCAGCGCCTTCCAAGTTGCCCAGTCTTCTGTGTGCCCAGGGGGGAGTCTCTCATTTGGTATCAGCCATTGGTTGAGGTTCTGGGTTTGAGCCTGCCACTTTTGGACTCTTGCTTGCTGAGAGGAGATTCCAAGAGAGGAGATTCCATCTGAACATGAGGAAGAACTTCCTGAGTGTGAGAGCCGTTCAGCAGTGGAACTCTCTGCCCTGGAGTGTGGTGGAGGCTCCTTCTTTGGAAGCTTTTAAACAGAGGCTGGATGGCCATCTGTCAGGGGTGATTTGAATGCAATATTCCTGCTTCTTGGCAGGGGGTTGGACTGGATGGCCCAAAGGTCTCTTCCAACTCTATGATTCTATGATTCTAGGTGTTCCAGCGAGTGTCTCTGTAGAACTTAGAAAACTATTTCTAGATTTAAGTCGTTGACATGCTGGCTGATACCCAAGCAGGGGATGAGCTGGAGATGTCTCTGCCTTGGTCCTTTCACTATTTGGCTGCTACTTCCCGGCGGATGTCAGGTGGTGCAATACCAGCTAAGCAGTGTATATCTCGGTGTAGGGTGCAGACACCCCGTGATAATGCGGCATGTCTCATTAAGAGCCACATCCACTGTTTTAGTGGTGAGATGTGTTCCACACTGGGCATGCATACTCAGCAGCAGAGTAGCACAGCGCAAGGGCAGATGTCTTCACTGTGTCTGGTTGTGATCCCCAGGTTGTGCCAGTCAGCTTTCATATGATATTGTTTCTAGCACCCACTTTTTGCTTGATGTTCAGGCAGTGCTTCTTGTAGGTCAGAGCACGGTCCAGAGTGACTCCCAGGTATTTGGGTGCGTGCAATGCTCCAGTGGGATTCCTTCCCAGGTGATCTTCAGAGCTCGGGATGCTTCTCTGTTCTTGAGATGAAAGGCACATGTCTGTGTTTTGGATGAGTTGGTTTTCCCTGTAGTAGGCAGCAAGGATTATGGATAAGTTGATGGAGCATTCAACCACTGTTTTCGGCTAATAATGGCCACCAGAGTGGTAATTCTTAATAGATTTTAATTGTATTGTTTCAATGTTTTAACTATTTATAATTATTGCCTGTTTGTTTTTACTATTTATTGGAAGCTGCCCTGAGCCCCCCCCCCCCCCCCCCCCCCCAAGGGGTTGAGAAGGGCGGGGTACAAATATTTGAAATAAATAAATAAATAGCCAGTTCCCATCACTGCAGATGCTTTCCATCTAGAGAAGGGATCCAAAATGGTTGCTTTTGTGAAAAGTGTTGATGTTGCCAGCCTTCTGGACTTCTCTTCCTTATCTTACCTTCTTGGTTCTTTATGTATCAAGGCTCCATAGCACTTTAAAATAAATATCTGCCTTGAAATCACCAGGCAGTGAGGCAGCCAGGTTCCTCCTCTGCGGTGATCTATTCTGGGGTTTCTTCCTCTTTGCAGGCATCACCGTGGACAAATTTGGGTTCATCTATTTTGTGGATGGCACGATGATTCGGCGCATAGACCAGAATGGGATCATCTCAACTGTCCTCGGTTCCAATGACTTGACGTCCGCCAGGCCTCTGAGCTGTGACTCGGTCATGGATATCTCCCAGGTACACAATCTTTCATTAGACCATTTTCTATAGTTATGTATTGTTTTCGTTGCACTTGCATATTTCCAGGTGAGCATAAAAACTCTTTCTTGAAATGTTATGGGTCTGCCTCACTCCCCCATCCCTTGAGTCTTCCTCCTACTCTTCCATAATAATAATAATAATAATAATAATAATAATAATAATAATAATAATAATCTTTATTTATACCTCGCCACCATCTCCCCAATGGGGACTCGGAGTGGCTTACATATTACAACAAAATAAAACCAGAGCATAAACAGTAAACAACAACATCAAATTACATCAAGAAAAAAAATTATAAACACAGTCATAAAAGAACATTCCAATGAACACAATCACAATAACAATTGATCATATGCCACATCTAGACATGTGAAACATCTCAGAAATTAATTTTCAACCATTTCCAATTAACCTTCTTTATTATTACAGTCAAAAGTACTAATGTGTCTTAGCAATATTAGTTAAACATTAGGAGACTGAAGACTGTATCTACATTGTAGAATTAATGCACTTTGACACCACCTTAATTCTCATGGCTCAGTGCTATGGAATCCTGAGATTTGTGGTTAGAGAAAGCAACAGCACTCTGGCAGAGAAGGCTAAAGATCTTGCAAAACTATAGCTCCCAGGATTCTTAGCTTTGAACCATAGCAGTTAAAGTGGTTTTAGCCTATAAAGCCCTAAATGGTTCTAGCCCAGCTTATCTGTCCGAATGTATCTCCCTCTATGAACCACTGCAGAGTTTTAAAATCATCTGGAGAGGCCCTGCTCTCAGTTCTGCCTCCCTTACAGGAGCGATTGGTGGAGACAAGAGACGGGGCCTTCTCAGTGGTGGCCCCTCCCCAGGGATATTAGATCAGCCCCCTCCCTCCTGACCTACCACAAACAAGTGAAAACGTGGCTTTGTGACCAAGCCTTTAGAGAACTTGTGCAATAGATAGACTTGAAAGAATGTGCAATGATCATTGGAACGACCTGGTGTATGCTTGTGGATTACATGTTTAACTCTGAATGTATTGTTTTTAAATGTTTTAATTGTTTTTAAATATAATTTTAATTCTATTTTAATATTTAAGTGTACACTGTGTTTTAAGGCATCAAATCTCTTGGGGTGAGAAAGACGGGGTAGAAATGTCATAAATAAATACATATTATGCTGGGTTTTTTAAGTATATATTAGGCATAGTTAGGTACCGTTGGAATCTTCATAATTCGGAATAAAGTAAAAAAAAATTACCTTTTTGAAGCGATTTCAACGTTTTTAGGAAAACTGGAATTCCCTTTGCCCTTCTAAAGCTTTTTCCACCATTTTTGTTACGACTAATGAAGTGAGTCGGAAATGATTCAGCTTTTCCGTGCTTCTGGTCCCTGGCCTCGGCTCAAGCCAAAGAAGCCAGTTTTAAATCAGAAAAGGAAGGAATTTCCTGGCCTCGGCTCAAGCCAGAGAAACCAGTTTTAAAGCCAGAGAAGCCAGTTTTAAACCAGAGAAGGAAGGAATTTTCTCTGCTTCCTTTTCCCAGCTTCTGGTCCCTAGCATCAGCTCAAGCCAGAGAAGCCAGTTTTAAACCAGAGAAGGAAGGAATTTCCTGGCCTCGGCTCAAGCCAGAGAAGCCAGTTGTAAAGCCAGAAAAGGAAAGAATTTCCTCCGCTGCTTTTCCCCACTTCTGGTCTCTGGCCTCGGCTCAAGCCAGGGAAGCCAGTTTTAAACCAGAGAAGGAAGGAATTTCCTCCGCTGCTTTTCCCCACTTCTGGAGTAAAAAAACTACTTTCAAAGTAAAGACCACCCAATGAAACAGGAAATAACACTTTCAAACCATTAACGAAAGAATTTCAGAAGTTTCAAAAAGTTTTGAACACTTTTTTCTGTGAAAATCGGAATTGACTTTAGAATCGAACCACCAGCACCCCCTACATCCAATGAGTTTTGAAAATTTTTTTATCAACCAAGCCTAGTACGTGTGTGTGTGTGTGTGCGCGCACACACACACACACATATGCATTCCTTAGCATAAGGTAGATATAACTTATGCTGCCTACTGTTTTGAAGGCACTGTCCATCCTGATAATCAGTAGAAGTCCGAAGGCATGACCTTCAAATCTGGCAGGGTTGAGCAGCTCCAAATGCAATTTGAATGGCTTCAGGTATTAAGCTTTGTTCTCCTAGCTGGGAAGCTTGAATGCTGTTAGTTGGGCACAATAGAAACCAACGGGTTGAAAGGTGTGCTTTTTTTCCTCCTCCTTTTGTAACCACCCGTGTAATTTCCGCATTTCCACCTGGCACCTGTTCCTTTGGTTCTTTCTCCCCGTAATTTGAAAAGATTGCTCCTGCTTCTTTTGTGGCAGCTACCCCACTCTCTGCCATTTATGAGCGGAATGAAAATTGAGGGATACAAAGGTCACCTGCCTGGTGGACTTTGATGGTTCAAAAGCACCTTGGCACTTGGTGGCTTCCGTTCTTCCAAACAGGAACTGGATGGAGAATGAAGTTGATAAGGTTTTTGTAAACCTGGAATTTATTTTTTTAATAGAAGAGTGCTTTTCAAAATACCTTCATTTCTATATAGGATAATCCTTCAGAATTTCCAACCTCCTTGCATCAGTCTTTTCGGAATGAGCAAACTGAGGAATAGACAGCATTTGAATGAGAATATGAACATCATCATCATCATTATTATTATTATTATTATTATTATTATTATTATTATTATTTACTGCCCAAAAACAGAGTATGTCATGGGAAACGAGATCTATATGCTGGATTTCGTATCACAAAATCACAAGTCGAACACTTCCCAAGCGTCTAGGACTGTGTGATGTATTTTCGAATGATGCACGCAGATCCACGTCAGGTGGCCTTTTGCAGTTGACAGATTGTGATTTTGTCAATGTTTGTTGTTTCCAAATGCCGGCTGAGATCTTTTGCCACGGCACCCAGTGTGCCAATGACCACTGGGACCACCTGTACTGCCAGAACCTTTGCAGTTCAATTTTGGGGTCCTGATAACGGCTGAGTTTTTCCTGTTGTTTTTCCTCAATGCAACTGTCACCTGGAATGGTGACATCAATAATCCATACTTTTTTTCTTTTCCACAATCGTGATGTCTGGTGTATTGCATTCCAAAAACTTTGTCAGTCTGGGTTCGAAAGTCCCACAGTATTTTTGCGTGTTTATATTCCACTATCTTTGCAGGTTTATGATCCCACCAATTCTTTACTGCTAGTAGGTGGTACTTGTGACATAAGTTACAATGAATCATTTGGGCCACAGAGTTGTGCCTCTGTTTGTAGTCCATTTGTGTGATTTTCTTGCAGCAGCTGAGGATATGATCCATGGTTTCATCAGCTTCCTTGCATAGTCTGCATTTTGGGTCATCAGCTTATTTTTCAATCCTGGCCTTAATTGCATTTTTCTGATGCAAATCTTATCATCATCATCATTGTCGTCATTATCCATCTTTTATATCCTGCATAATAATAATAATAATAATAATAATAATAATAATAATAATAATAACAACAACAACAACAACAACAACTTTATTTTGTACCCTGCCTCCATCTCCCTGAAGAGACTCGGGGCGGCTTAAACCTGGGACAAAATGTCCACAAAAATCATAGAATCATAGAATCAAAGAGTTGGAAGAGACCTCATGGGCCATCCAGTCCAACCACCTGCCAAGAAGCAGGAATATTGCATTCAAATCACCCCTGACAGTTGAACCCTAGTTTCCAACCGACCTCACAACCTCTGAGGATGCCTGCCATAGATGCAGGTGAAACATCAGGAGAGAATGCTTCTGCAACATGGCCGTACAGCCTGAAAAACTTACAACAACCCAGAAATCAAGATTTCTTGGAAGCAGTGTATGAAAGAAGTATATCCCACGCTGCTACTCCCTTTCCTCCCTTTCTCCTCCAGCAAATGGAATATAGAGGTGAGAGTTTGGTGAGGCACTGAGAAGGCTAAAGACCTTGCAAAACTACAACTCCTAGGATTCCATAACATTAGGCCACGACAGTTTTAGTGGTGTCAAACTGCATTCAGTGTACTCAGTCTGACTTTCCATAAGTCCAAAAAGAAAAGTTCTAATTTAAACTTCCATCTTTGTCTTGAACATTTCCTCTGTACAATAGATCTGAACCCAGTATGTCTTTGTTTTTTCCCCAGCCCACCCCATAGTGTGAAAAGTCCCTTCTTTTTTTTCCTATTTCCAACATATATTTGATAAACCTTTGTTTCTTTTTGATCATTCCTATAGTGTCAGATACCACCTATACATCGTCTTGAAAGAATTCTCTTTGAGATCAGAGCGTAACATTAGTTTCAAACCTTCCCTCCACATCTTTTCCCACTGAGCTGTTTGAATGCCGTGACCCACATTCTGCGCCCAGTTTGCAAACGGATTCTTTAACGTGTTCCTCTTGAATTTCCATTTCTGAGAGCTACTTGCACTTTTTAGCTACTAAAGGATCGTCTTTATCCATTTTGCAACTTGGGAACGAATAATTGTGAATATTATTTCCGTCTCTAAATAGAAGAGGACGATAGCTATCAAACTGTTCTCTGTTGGCATGACCATCAAGTTTGCAGATGAAACCAAACTGGGAGGATAATAGTACTCCAGAAGACAGGAGCAAAATTCAAAACTATCTTGACAGATTAGAGAGATGATTGGCCAAAACTAACAAAATGAAGTTCAACAGGGACGAATGCAAGATGCTCCACTTAGGCAGAAAAAAGGAAATGCAGAGATACCGAATGGGGGACAATGCCTGGCTCGACAACAGTTTGTGTGGAAAAAATCTTGGAGTCCTCATGGGGAGGAAGGGAAACATGAGCCAACAATTTCATTCAGTGGCTAAAAAAGCCAAGGGGATTTTGGTCTGCGTCAGTAGGAGTCTAGTGTCTAGATCCAGGGAAGTCATGCTTCCCATCTATTCTGCCTTGGGTCAGACCCAGAGGCGGCCCTAGGTAATTTTCAATAGTAAGCAAACAGTATTTTGCCCCACCACCACCACCACCACCAATCACTGATATATATTTTCTGTTCGTCGTGGGAGTTCTGTGTGCCATATTTGGTTCAATTCCATCATTGGTGGAGTTCAGAATGCTCTTTGCTTGTAGGTGAACTATATATCCCAGTAACTACAACTCGCATATGTCAAGGTCTATTTTCCCCCAAGAGCGCTCCTGGGCAAAATCAACTATACTGCAAATGCTTCCTTTGCATAATGGGTTGAGTGTCCAGTTCTGGGCACCACAATTGAAGGGAGATGTTAACAAGCTGGAATGTGTCCAGAGGAGAGTGACTCAAACAATCAAGAGTCTGGAGAACGAACCCTATGAGGAGTGGCTTAAAGAGCTGGGCATGTTTAGCCTTCAGAAGTGTTGTCAAAGAAAAATCATTAATAAAAATTTATACAAAAAAGAAGAAGAAGAAGAGAAGGCTGAGAGGAGACATGATGGTCATGGATCAAGATGTGAAGGGAAGTCCTAGGGAGGAGGGAGCAAGCTTGTTTTCTGCTGCCCTGGAGACTAGGATACAGAACAATGGCTTCAAACTACAGGAATGGAGATTTCACCTGAACATTAGGAAGAACTTCCTGGCTGTGAATGCTGTTCAGCAATGGAACTCTCTGCCCTGGAGTGTGGTGGAGGCTTCTTCTTTGGAGTCTTTTAAGCAGAGGCCAGATGGCCATCTGTTGAGTGTGCTTTGAATGCAATTTGCCTGCTTCTTGGCAGAATGGGGTTGGACTGGATGGCCCATGAGCTCTCTTCCAACTCTATGATTCTATGATTCTGTTCCCTTCCATCAGTAGGTTTTGGCATCCCTCCCCTTCCATTTTCCCATTTCCAGCTCATCTTTGGATGTACATTGAAAACAAAACAAAAAAAGTCAATGTCTCAATATCTTCATCTTTGGAAGATTTACTTTTTCTTTTTAGAGAAATCCTGCCAGACTTTGAGGCTGCCATTCCCTTCTTTCCCATGCCAAAGACCCATTGCCGCATTGCCGCCTGCCAAACAGTGCCGCGAGGTCTCTTTAAAAGAACTTCAACGAGGGAACTATCTTTCCGTCATATAAAGCAACCGGAGAGGTCTCTTCAGTCAGACCCCCTCAGGCAGTCAGGGACCAGAAGCCATAAAATATTTAGCTGCCGTTGTTGACAAGAAATTGGTTTTAAGAGGTGGAGGGAGGGGAATTCCCCTGTTGTCGCTGAATAAACTTACATTCTTGATGCTCACTCGAGGCTGCAAGTGCTTCTGCCGCAGTCGCTTGGAAGGCCGTGGGGAAGGCAAAAAGGCATGCATTATTGAAGGGGAAACCACAGGCTGTCATGTTTTACCACTGGAAGGGTTAAGGAGGGCCAGGAGCCAAAGAAACAAGAGAGAAACCAGACACAGGCGTAGTTTGCTCTGTCTCGTTCTCACTGAGGTGGCAAATCTGCGTCTGGATGGTACGGCTCTGGAATGGCGCTAGGAGCTGACATGATGACATGCTTCCCTGCTGTTTTGGATCAGTCCCGGATTCTGCCGAGGTGTTGACACCTCTCTGTGCCTGAACCACGGCTAAACTGGATGGTCCATCTTTCGCGTTGTATGTTCAATCCAGGAAAGAGCTGGAACATGTTCAGAAAAGGGCAACCAAACTTATCCCAAATAGGTTCTTGTGGGTTTTTTCGGACTATAGGGCCATGTTCTAGAGGCATTTCTCCTGACGTTTCGCCTGCATCTATGGCAAGCATCCTCAGAGGTTGGAATTAGGACTACCTCTAAGGATGCTTGCCATAGATGCAGGCAAAACATCAGGAGAAATCCCTCTAGAACATGGCCCTATAGCCTGAAAAAAACCCACAAGAACCTAGTGATTCCAGCCATGAAAGCCTTCGACAATACATTATCCCAAATATCTTCTCCCAAAATAGGAAAAGCTAAATGCTTGTGATCTCTTTCACACACACATAATGAAGTCATGTTCTGTGTGTGTGTTTCTACCTTTAAGTTGCACATTGACCTCTGGTGACCACATGAATTTCATAAGAGTAACGGATATAGATAACTAATATAGGAAATCTGACGATTTGACAATGGAACTGGACAATGCTTGACAATATGGAGACGCTAATTATGTTGTTTTTATTGCTTGTTGTGTTTTATGTTGTTTTAATGTTTAATTTGTACCATGATATTATGTATACTGTTTTGTTGGAAACCGCCTTGAGTCGCCGATATGCTGAGAAAGGTGGTATACAAATACAGTAAATAAATAAATAATAAATAAGGTTTTCCTAGGCAAGGTCTCCTTGGAGGTAATTACACCTTTGAAATAGAGTCTAGGTTAAAAGTAAAGGTTTTCCCCTGACATTGTTCAGTCGTGTCTGACTCTGGGGGTTGGTGCTTGGTGCTCATCTCAATTTCTAAGCCGAAAAGCCGGCATTGACCGTAGACACCTCCAACGTCATGTGGCCAGCATGACTGCATGGAACACCATTACCTTCCCACCATAGTGGTACCTATTGATCTAACTCACATTTGCATGTTTTTGAACAGTTAGGTTGGCAGAAGCTGGGGCTAACAGCGGGAGCGCGCGCTGCTCCCCAGAATAGACTCTGTGATCTTTGGGTCAGCAAGTTCAGCAACTCAGCACTTTAACCCACTGAAATAGAGCCTATAGTACCTGATACTCCTTGGTGGTTTTCCATTCCAGAACTATGTATGGCTAATCCTTCCTTAGCTTCCAAGATCAGACAGAATCTGGTTCCTTTAGGGCAGGGGTCCTCAAACTAAGGCCCGAGGGCCAGATGTGGCCCTCCAAGGTCATTTACCCGGCCCTCGCTCAGGATCAACCTAAGTCTGAAACGACTTGAAAGCTCACAGCAACAACAACAATCCTATCTCATCAGCCAAAAGCAGGCCCACACTTCCCATTAAAATACTAATTTTATATTGGTTAAAATTCTTCTTCATTTTAATTATTGTATTGTTTTTAAGTGTTTTTTGCACTACACGTAAGTTATGTGCAGTGTGCATAGGAATTCATTCATGGTTTTTTTCAAATTATAATCCAGCCCTCCAACAATTTGAGGGACTGTGACCAGGCCCTCTTTTTAAAAAGTTTGAGGACCCCTGCTTTAGGGTATTGTTTACATTAAAGAAGAGTTACTACTCCTAAAAGATTCTAGAAACCATGGTTTCCTTTGTTATCTGAATCCCAGGCCACTCATGACCCACAAAAGAATGTTAGTGCCCATGGTCAGTGGACTTATCCATGCTTTACAAAGCATCTTTTTGGTGAGGATTAGGTCACCAGTATAGCAACCAAGGACTCATCTACATGGACTGGATAACCTTTATTCACTGCACAGTTGCTTTTGGCTGTCCCCATGACTTTCTTCAAGTGGTTATTGTGGTGTAAACCAGGCTAACCCAGTTTAGCCCTATGTTAAGAAAAGTCAGGAGATGATCTGGAATCTGACCAATGGGCCCAAAATTATGTGGCCTGTGGAGATGAGGCCACATAATGGAGAAAACATTCCTCCATGCAATGAACAAGGTTTCTCAGGTATCCTTCAATGCATCTCCAAAAATAGATCTTCAATTTTGCAGGCTCATTCCAAAACAAGATGGAGAAAATATTTAAATCAGAGTTGCTCTCTGTTCCTCAAGGATCAGACAATCTTCTTCTCTCTTTATGAAACTTCCCATCTTGCACAGAGTCTAAATTATAAAACAATCCTGGATTGAAATTGCATGATTGTTTCTTGCTTTATCTGCCTGGTATCTTAAACCCTTCCCTATCAACGTCAAGTGTGCAGTGACTCAAGCTCAAGAGCTGCTGTTTGTATCAGAAACCTAACATAACTGCTTAGCTCCAAAGCCTGCTTTATTATAATTAATTTACATTATCATTGTGGTGTTGTAATATTTGTATAGACGGCTGTTTAGGCTTTTATTAGATATCAACATATTTGAGTCATGGGCCTTTATTGAAAAGTGGTATGGCCAGACGATGGTCACACCTATCACTTGCATGTTCTTCAGCCCACTAGCTGCACAATGTCTTTGGATGCTTCATTCTAGGAGCAATCCATCCGGAAGCATCCCAAGGCACTTGTGTTTTACTATATAAATCATGACAGAATATATTAACATGATATATTTCCTACCAACCATTTCTTCTCATTCTATTAGGTCCGTCTAGAGTGGCCAACCGACCTAGCAGTCAACCCAATGGACAATTCCCTGTATGTCCTCGACAACAACGTCGTGTTGCAGATCTCCGAAAACCACCAAGTGCGCATTGTGGCAGGAAGGCCAATGCACTGCCAGGTCCCTGGTATTGACCACTTCCTTTTGACTAAGGTAGCCATTCATGCCACCTTGGAATCTGCCACAGCCCTGGCTGTCTCGCATAGCGGTGTTCTGTACATTGCCGAGACTGATGAAAAGAAGATCAACCGCATCCGGCAGGTCACAACCAATGGCGAAATCTCACTGGTGGCTGGTGCTCCCAGCGGCTGTGATTGTAAAAACGATGCCAACTGTGATTGCTTTTCTGGAGATGATGGCTATGCAAAGGATGCCAAGCTCAATTCCCCTTCATCCCTTGCAGTGTGTGCAGATGGCGAGCTGTACGTGGCTGATCTTGGGAACATCAGGATCCGCTTTATCCGGAAGAACAAACCGTTCCTCAATACTCAGAACCTATATGAGTTATCTTCACCCATTGACCAGGAACTCTATTTGTTTGACACCAGTGGCAAACACCTTTATACCCAAAGCCTTCCCACTGGAGATTACCTTTTCAATTTCACCTACACGGGAGACGGTGACATCACCCTGATCACTGACAACAATGGAAACTTGGTCAACATCCGTAGGGATTCCACCGGGATGCCGCTCTGGGTAGTGGTGCCAGATGGCCAGGTCTACTGGCTGACCATCGGCACAAACAGTGCCTTGAAGAGTGTGACAGCACAAGGCCATGAGGTAGCCATGATGACCTATCACGGCAATTCTGGCCTCCTTGCTACTAAGAGCAATGAAAATGGGTGGACTACATTTTATGAGTGAGTATTACTTGGTTTGTTATTTCTGAATCTCATGGCACAGATAACATGAAGAACATGTCAGGGGTGCTTGGACTGTGTGCCTGACGGGGAGTTGGACTGGATAGGCCTTGTGGGTCTCTTCTATGAGAAAAGTATTTTTTGATTACTGTAAAGCAGGGATGGCGAACCCATCCACAAGGCTGCATCAGTGTTTTTCAACCCACTAGAAGTGACATAACTTCATTTCCAGTTGCATTTTGGCCCATTTTCAGCCATTTTTTATTTGAGAGTGTTGGAGAACTTAAGATGTCAGATTTAGGGCTGTTGAGGGCCACATTCAGCCTGCAGGACACACTGTGACCAATTCTGCTTAAAGGTACATTGAATCCAACATCCCATCGCACATAGAAGCCAACCAGCTGATTCTGGAAAGCTGTTAGTCCTCCCCAACAAACTATGCATTTAATCATTTTTATAGCGTTGAAAAGAAACATAGCTCACTAAGGATGGGGGTACAGGAATCTAGGTCCTTCAGTGCAACTCCATGGTCAGTTTTCACTGAAGGCTGAGCATATAATTTAATTAAATGTCTGAATAACCAATCCAAAAAAATCAAATCCACAAGTATGGAGGCATACTGTATCTTAAAATCAAAGACTACAGCAAATGAATACTAACATAATATATGTATGATTGTAATGTAGCCTACCCCCATATTCATGGAATTCGTACGAGTGGTTGCACTGGACCGTGATCCATGGCTGCCACTGCCAACCAGAGTCCTTCCTCCCCTTAACTTCACCAAATAAAATATGTTTGGACTCAGGTGTGACGAAATGAAAATCATGCAGAGTTCACATTTGATCAGCCCACACTTCCTTGCCAGAGAAAGAAAATAGGCCACACAGATGAACAGTAAAGAACAAGTAGTTTACTCTTCGTAATTCAGAACAACATATTTACAATCATATGATCAGTGGCATCAACTCACATAATGTTTTTTTATGAAAAATTTAAAATTATGTTTCTTTGTCCATGTGGAGAATCTTCCTGCAGCAGCTCATGAAGCAAGAGCACACTCCAAACTCTTGTCTCTCTCTGCTTCTCTCTGAACACCTGCACATCTCAAGCCTAAAAAATGTAACAGTATCCAAAAGTCCCAGGCTCAGCCAGCTCCCCGGGGATAGCCCAACCAATCAGCTTCACATATCTTTATTTTACAGTTGACACACACACATTAACCAATTCCTTACATGCTCCAACAAAAGGAACCTCTATCTTTTTGTCGAAGGCTTTCATGGCCGGAATCACTGGGTTGTTGTAGGTTTTTTCAGGCTATCTGGCCATGGTCTAGAGGCATTCTCTCCTGACGTTTCGCCTGCATCCATGGCAAGCATCCTCAGAGGTAGTGAGGACCTCACTACCTCTGAGGATGCTTGCCATGGATGCAGGCGAAACGTCAGGAGAGAATGCCTCTAGACCATGGCCATATAGCCTGAAAAAACCTATAACAACTCTATCTTTTTGCTTCACCAAGGAAGATACCGCCAAGACGGGCATAGAACAACCTACATTTCAATATGTGAGTCTTCCTTTGGGCTGGGTAGCAGATTAACAGAGAGACTGAGTATAAAATTATAGGGTTCACTATTTTTTGCAGTTTTGCCTATCCACACAAAGTCCTGAAACATCACCCCTGTGAACATGGGGTCCATACTATTGTATACTATTGTATAACTTTCTATCTTGAAGTTGTAGTTCATGCATTCCCTCCCAAATTGTTTCCAACTCCGACTCCACAGTTCTGGCTGAAACAATTTAGGGCAATAGAAAGATTGGCATTTCCAGAATCACAGCTTCTTTCCTGTACCAGTAATGTGACAAATGATGGCGTTGGATGTTCGCAAGCCAACAATTAGGACTCATAAGCAGCAAATTCTGCTTTAATTCTGTGCAGTGAACCTTGGCTAAATGCATTTCTGCTTGGGGATGGATGGCCGTGGTTCCCTTTGTCAGCCTCTTAATTGCCACAGGAATTGTAAAAGGTAGAGTCTGCTTGATCACAGGAGCAGGGGGTTTGCATTCGCAGGTGATGAATTCATTGCTTGCAGCCTTCCTCCGCTGTAGTATTTGCCCTTAATTCTGGTGCAAATCTGAGCATTAAATGAACATGAGAATATTAGGAAGCAATAGAGACCAGTCTCACTTTAAATCCCCAGGCTGTGGAAACAGAACCCAGCTGGATTAACTGTGAAATGAATAGACTTGGGAAGGATTTGTCTCCCTGCATATACCAGGATACACCTGCAGTGATACAAGTGGCATTCTGCTAGCCAGCCTATTATTCCCGTGGATCTATGTGGTGTCTAAATGCCTCCACAGAGGCAGAGATGTTAAGACTAACACATCAGTGGTTTTCAAGCAGGATGTTTTGGGATCTTTTTTTGGTTTGTTTAGTTTTAATGATGCAGTGGGCAAGCGTTGTTGTGACTACATCCATTGTGTGGTGTCCTTCAGAAATTTTCACCTTCACCGCTTTCTTGTGGTTCCTCACTTATGAAAAGGCACATAGATAAATATTTCAGACTGAAGAGTGGGAAATTTAATTAATTTTTATCTGGAAGAATGAAGTGGGATCGATGTAAAGCTGGTCATTTCTTAGAGATATTGCTATAGACAGGTACCACAAAATTGAAGTATTTGGATATCACATACTTACCTATTTTTTATTTGATTTTATCTCAGCTGAACTTCAACTTTCTACTCCATAACCATGCAATGTGGGAAACTTTGTTATCATGACAAACTAACCATAATACACAGAAATACACAAGCATGTGGACAATTTCAACAGAAAGGAGGAAACCATGAATATGAACAAAATCTGGCTACCAGTATTAAAAAACTCTAAAATTGCAACAGCACAACAACAGAGAGGAAACAAACAAGGACATCTAATCACCTCTCAACAAAAGTTTGCTCTAGGCACTGTCAGGCCATTATATGCTAATCAAGGTGGTCAGTTGAAACATTCACACCTAGCTCCAGCAGACAAGAGTCCTTTGTCTCACCCTGGTCATTCCACAGATATATAAACCCCTTTTTTTCTAGTTCCAGCAGACCTCACTACCTCTGAGGATGCTTGCCATAGATGCAGGCGAAATGTCAGGAGAGAATGCCTCTAGAACATGGCCATATAGCCCGATAAACCTACAACAACTCAAACTAACCATAGTTTGTCATGATAACTAAGTTGTACTGGTTTCAAATAAGCCAAAATTCTGCAAATCGGACTTTCTACGAACCAGTGCAGGCTCTGAGATTGAGAGGGAGACCCTTCTCTCGGTCTGACCACCGTCTCAAGCATGGTTGGTGGGGACGAGAGAGAGGGCCTTTTCTGTGATGGCCCCCAGCTCTGGAATACTCTCCCAAAAGAGATTAGATTAGCCCCCATTCTTCAAATCCTTCCATTCCAAACTGAAAACATGGATGTTCAGACAGGCTTTTGACCTTGAGTAGGCTTTTTTTGTTGTTGTTGTTGTGTCACTGTTGTTGTTATTCTGCTTAACTATTTTGATTTGCTTTGTTTATTGTTGTGTTATGTTTTTACTGTATTGTGTTCTGAGGCTTCGGCCTGTGTAAGCCGCATCGAGTCCTTCGGGAGATGCTAGCGGGGTACAAATAAAGTTAATAATAATAATAAATAATAATAATCAGAAGCAACCTGAAAAACTGCAAGTCGCTTCTGGTGTGAGAGAATTGGCTGTCTGCAAGGACGTTGCCCAGGGGACGCCCGGATGATTTGATGTTTTATCATCCTTGTGGGAGGCTTCTCTCATGTCCCCACATGAGGAGCTGGAGCTGATAAGAGGGAGCTCACCCACCTCTCCCCGGATTTGAACCTGTGACCTGTCGGTCTTCAGTCCTGCCGACATAGGGGTTTAACCCACTGCGCCACCCAGGGCTCCACTACCTTGAGTAGGCTGAATGGGCCTATATGAAACTTGTTACGCAGCTACGTGTTTTTGCCCAGCGTCCCAGCGCCCAAATGCAAAAGACTCACAGACCAGAGTAAAAATGAACTGAAAAATCTTTACTCAGCAGAGATGAAACCTAAATTTGGCAATGTTGCATACAAAAAAATCAAGCAGTGCAACAACCTTACACAGTCTTTGTAAGAACATAAAATAAGGCAACTTCATCTTACAGCAATGAGAGATCAAAATAAACCTTGAGTAAATGGTATTTCACCGTAGCTTCCTTCAGAGTAGCTTCTCCAAACTGCTCTCCAGAGCAAAGCCCTTTTCCATAGAGAAAAGGCTCTCCAGAAGCTCTCTTCTTCAGCATCTCCTGCTGGAACTCCATGCTGGTACTCCAGAATGTATTCAAGAAAACTCAAACAGATATAGCCCCTTGGGTGTGGTCCAAGATTGCTGGTTGACCTACTTTGCCAGCTGCTCATGATAATTACACACAATAAGGTTTCTCTTCACACACACTCATTTGGTCCTGCAAGGACTCAGCGCAACAAAGCTGACACTTGGCATCTTGTGACTTGACTGCAGTTAGTTTTTTCTACTGTTGCTTTAAAATTGTATTATTTTGATTTTATGCTACATGTGTTGATGGGGGTTGTTGTTATAATTTTATGTGACTTTTTAATACTTTTGTACCATTTTTACCTATTGTATGTTATATATGCACCCTGGAGTGCCTTGTAAACCACCCTGAGTCCCTTCAGGGAGATGGTGGCAGGATATATAGATTATTACTATTATTATTATTATTATTATTATTATTATTATTATTATTATTATTATTAAAGTTAAACTATTTTCCGGAGGCAAAGATTGAGAACCCAAACATGTGTACAGAAACAAAGCAAAAGCTTTGCACAAGGGCTCATGAACTATCAACCTCCATTTGTTTATCCAGTTCTCCAGACTCACATTTCTTCTTACGCATTTATTTTCTTTCTAGATACGACAGCTTTGGCCGTCTCACCAACATCACTTTCCCTACCGGTCAGGTCAGCAGCTTCCGAAGTGACACCGACAGCTCAGTGCATGTCCAGGTTCAAACCTCCAGCAAAGACGATGTCACCATCACAACCAACCTTTCAGCATCAGGTGCCTTCTACACCCTCCTCCAAGGTAAGCCTCACATTGACCCAATGGGTTTTGGATTGTGTGTTGCCTCCTCCTCCTCCTCCTTCTTTTTCTTTCCTACTTCATTCAGACTGGGTGGTGTATGGTACAAATTAGTAGCAATAAGAAATGGTTGGATGAAATATGTGTATCCCTCAAGAAGGCATGAGCAAACTTCAGTCCTCCAGGTGTTTTGGACTTCAACTCCCACAATTCCTAACAGTCAGTAGGATGGCAACCCCAAAGTGAAGTATGCTGACATACAGTGTATTGATGCTCCTGAATGTCACCAACAAAGCCTTAAACGGTTTGGGACCCACCTACCTTTGTGACCGTATCTCGCTCCACGTACCAACCCGGGCCCTTCGTTCCTCAGGGGAGGTCCTCCTTTCACCCCTACCAATCTCACAAGCTCATCTTGTGGGCACAAGGAAGAGAGCCTTCTCTTCTGTGGCCCCCCGACTTTGGAACTCTTTACCTGGGGAGATCAGGAAAGCCCCTTCACTGGAAACATTTAAAAAGAACCTCAAAACCTGGCTTTTCCGTTGTGCTTTTGATGAGTAGGTGCACAGCATGATATTTTAAATCCCTCAACTTTTTCTGCTAATCGAGTTTGTGCCCTCCAAATAGGATGTTTTGTCTCACAACTCTGTGTGTTTTATGAGTTCCATATGAACGTCCTGCTCCTATGTATTGTCGAAGGCTTTCACGGCTGGAATCACTAAGTTCTTGTGGGTTTTTTCGGGCTATATGGCCATGTTCTAGAGGCATTTTCTCCTGACGTTTCGCCTGCATCTATGGCAAGCATCCTCAGAGGTTAGGGTGTTTTGAAAGTCCTTTTGGCTGCGAGAAATTGTGGGATGGTATCTGTGTCTCTGCAGCGTAGAAGGAAAGTCAGGGAGCACAGTAGATGTGCTTTCCTGGTCCTTAGTTTCTCCAATTTCCTTGTGTCTTGGAACAGTTTCTCCCCGTAGAGATGTTCAATGTATTGTCGAAGGCTTTCATGGCTGGAATCACTAGTTCTTGTGGGTTTTTTCGGGCTATATGGCCATGTTCTAGAGGCATTTCTCCTGACGTTTCGCCTGCATCTATGGCAAGCATCCTCAGAGGTGATCCTCACCTCTGAGGATGCTTGCCATAGATGCAGGCGAAACGTCAGGAGAAATGCCTCTAGAACATGGCCATATAGCCCGAAAAAACCCACAAGAACTTAGTCCTGCTCCTATCTTATCTCATCATAGTTTGTTAACTGTTTTTTATCCAGAACATGCGGCCCGCCCATTGTCATCACTATCGTGGTTGTATTTATTGGAACATTTATTATCATCATCATCATCATCATCATCATCATCAATGTGTTGGAGTGCTGAAGTAGTATTTCGCTGATGCATTATAAATGTAAAACGTATATTTTGGGGGTGAAGAGAGAAAACAGAAGAGAAGGACACTTCTTTTTTTCCAGTAAATCTGTGATTTAAAAAGAAGTCCATTCAAATATAGGAATAAGAAGCTGCAGTTGGAGCTGGAAACTACCAGAAAACAGTCCAGGAGAACAGTAGCCTATTGTCTGGTTATATTTTAATAAGGCTCAAAAACCATAGCCTCAACTACCATAACCTCCCAACACATTGGTTGGGCATTCCTGCTACAAGCCTAGCTCAGTATAACATGAACCAGATCTGCAAAAGGGAAAGCGAAAATTGAAGAGTATATCATTTTCATGGGTAGGTGGGCATAGGGTGGGCCAGGGGTGGGGTTGGGGACAAGGAGAGAGACCATATGCTTTCTTCCCACTTCTTCCTTTCAAGAGCTATGAGTTTACCTCAAGGCCTGATACCCATTCCTTTTGGAGAAGGGGAGCAATTAATACAAAATTGAAAATATTTCCCTAACTTCCCCTGAGCCTTGGAGATAAGTCAGGCCATTAATACAAATGCATTCCAATAACGAACCAGCCTCTCCTCTGCAGCTATGGGCAAGGGGTGGGAAGGGCTGAGCGGCACGCACCGGATTATATGGCAGGAAACAGGCATCATCATGGTAATCCCAGCACCAGGAGACCCCTGTATCCTGGCGCCTTCTAACGCATGGCTATGTTGACGCACACACGCTCACACCTCATTAAGCGGTCCAGCCTCGGCCTGGCCAGACCTTCATACCGCAGCTGTTTGCTGCTTGGAGCTCAGCTGGTTTCCTCAGTATTTTACTCCTATTTCCTATTTTATTGCGCCTGTTATCTTGGCAACAGAAAACTCAGGTAGGGGCAGGGCTGCTTGCAAATGATTTTTTTTTCATGTCAGGAGCAACTTGAGGAACTGCAAGTCGCTTCTGGTGTGAGAGAACTGGCCATCTGCAAGGACATTGCTCAAGGGGCACCCAAATGTTTTACCATCCTATGGTAGACTTCTCTGATGCCCCTGCATGAGAAGATGGTGGTGACAGACAGGAGCTCACCCCACTCCCCAGATGCAAACTGCTGACCTTTTGGTCAGCAGTCCTGCTGGCACAAGGCTTTAACCCATTGCACAACCGGGGGGTCCGCAAAGGATATTCACAAGCTGGAAGGTGTCCAGAAGAGGACAACCAAAATGGTCAAAGGTCTGTAAACTATGAATCCCTATGAGGAACAGCTTAGGGACTAGGTATATTTAGCATAGAGAAGAAAAGGTTAAGGCGGGGGGGGGGGGGGACACAGTAGCCATGCTTAACTATTGGAAAGGATAATAATAATAATAATAATAGTAATAATAATAATAATAATAATAGTCTTTATTTATACCCCGCCACCATTCGGGGCAGCTTACATGAGGCCACACCCATCAATACAGAAAACACAATATAACACAAAAACACAACAGAAAATCAGAAAATAAAATAACATAAAATACAAAGGATGTCATGTTGAAGATGATGTCATTATGAAAGGCCTCTGGGAAATTATTATTATTATTATTATTTACAGTATTTATTTTTTACCCTTCTCACCTCGCAGGGACTCAGGGCGCACATATAAATGGCAAACATTCAATGCCATAGACACACAATATATATAGACAGGGACACAGAGGATATTTAACTTTCCAGCTTCATGAGGGTGTGCTTTTTTAATTCCAGCCACCAGGGGAGCTGTTGCTTCACCATCCACTTGTGACACCAATGGAGTACTTCCTCATTCTTTTGCACCGCTGCTGGAGAGTTTTATGGCATCGTAAATTAGTTAAATTAGCTTCCCCACATAAGTGGTACCTAAATTTCCTACTTGACAGATGCAACTGTCTTTCAGGCTGCAAAGGTCAAAAAATTCCCATACTTGGACTCAGGAAGGTCAAGTTCGACCCAGGGCACAAGGTTCCTACTCTTGATGTACAGTTGGGTTGAGCATCCTTTCTTACTGACAAAGCCACTTTCTAAATAAGACCTATAATCCTTTAACATGTTCTGATAAATACAGGACAACAGTTAATAATCCTCTGCCTTCGCTTATGTTAAGATATTCTCCTGCAATTTGAAGGTTAACGTAATAGCATAAGGTCATCAGATCAAAAGCCGGAGAGAGTTCACGGACCTTTAATGCAGAAGAGGGAATTTCAGCAGGTATTGCTTGCCTCCTAGTTGTGTAGCAATACCTACTGACATTTATTTATTTTATTTATTTGGTGCATTTATTGACCGCCGCTCTCAGCCCTAGGGCGACTCGCGGCGGTGTACAGCATATAAAAACAGTTTACAAAAACAGAAACAAGCAATCCACACAACAATAATACACAATACTATAAGTTACACTAAATAATCCGCTCCGTCATATCATAGAATCATATCCAATATCGTAGTCCATATTCCGTTCCAGATGTCAATTACCAGTTGCCGTAATATTCAGTTAAATGCCTTCTCGAAAAGCCAGGTCTTTAGGTTCCTACGGAAGGACAAAAGGGAGGGCGCCTGTCTGATGTCAACAGGGAGGTCGTTCCACAGCCGGGGGGCCACCACCGAGAAGGCCCTCTCTCTCGTCCCCGCCAGGCGTGCCTGTGAAGCAGGCGGGATCGAGAGAAGGGCCTCCCCAGATGATCTCAAGGTCCTCGTGGGCTCATAGGCCGAGATGCGGTCCGAAAGGTATTTTGGGCCGGAACCGTTTAGGTTCCTGCTGTTGAAAGCATGGAAGCCATCTCCAGTTTTCAATCTGGCAACCCTATAAATAACCTGAGGTCAGAAATTGCTGCAGTTACTAAATCGGTGTTGCTTTCTTGTTCATGTTTGATGTTAGCTTGCACAGAGGAGGTGGAGGGAAATGGAAGCAGGGCCAAAGAGGAAAGAAAAAATGAGCATTTCTTTGTTTCCGTTACACATATTTAGCCTTGGTTATGGGGAAGGTGGATTTTGAGGAATGATTTGAAAGCTGTTCCTCCCTTTTATACTCAAGCCAAGGGCCAGCTGGATTTAGGAAACACTGTGCTTTTTGGCAGATTCTGGGATGGAAAGTTTCATTCCACTTTGGAAGTCCAGTTAAGCCACAGAAACTGCAATTTGGGTGTCTTCTGGAATAGGATAGGTCTCTAATCATGAATGCACATTTCAGTAAAGCTTTATGGGGTGCATTGTTCCAAATCCAAAGATATGGGAATATGCCATTGGGCAAGACACTAGTAATCGAAGACCTGATTAACCTGGCAGAGAAAAATATGGAACCCAAGACTTCTTGTTTCGTAACCTTCTTGGCCATTGGTAGCACTTTTTATGTGGCGAGCTCTTTGTTGGTGGAGGCTCCTTCTTTGGAAGCTTTTAAACAGAGACTGGATGGCCATCTGTCGGGGTGCTTTGAATGTGATTTTCCTGCTTCTTGGCAGGGGGTTGGACTAGATGGCCCATGAAGTCTCTTGCAACTCTATGATTCTATGATCTGTGCAAATTGTGGACATTAGCATCCTGGTTTCAAATTATTTTCCTTAAAAAAAACAAGCTTTTCAGTTACAGCCAGTTTCTTTTCTTGTTCTCCCCCTTCTCCTTTTAATTAACACTTCTAATTAAACAAGACAGATAACTTTATTTAAAATGTCTTGGCAAATTAGCTGCTCTGTACATGTTATTTATGTTCAATGTTTCTCTCTTGCATATTGGAGCATGAGGTGTGTGTGGCCCTTTAAATATTGCTGGAGCGCAGCTCCCATGAGTCCTGACAACATAGCTATTAGCAAGCATACTGGGAGCCTAAGTATGCATCTCTGCTTATTCCCATTTCTAAGATATCTCACTATGTACCTATGGGCAAATACAGGCATTTCAGAGTCTGAAAAATCTGAAATCCAAAACACTTCTAATGTGCAGGTACAACTGCACCAATTTTGTTTGCTTTGCATTGAATGTTTGTTATAGTCCTAAGTTTCAGGGACTCTGCAGATAGGTGGCTTCTTTTGACTGCAATCATAGGGCAAGCCACCTTTCAATTATAGTTAGGTTCCCTGGGTTTTGGAGGGAACAGGAGCCAATTTGGGTTCAGTCCACACAGAGAAGCCTTTTGCACAGGACATAAAACCAAGAGCTCCTGTAGAAAGCTTCATCTTCTATGGCTTGGCCGGGGAGATATACAGCCCACAGCTTGGCTGGGGTTATACAGGCCTACATCTCCTTTGCTGAAGGACTTCAGTCAGCCATCACGGAAGCCTGAATTCCTGGAAGTCTACAAAGCTCTGCTTTGTAAGGGTCACTCGCGGAAGCCAGAAGCAGTTGGTACCAGGTGCAGGGGCTCCACGCCAACAGAGGCTAAGACAGACTTCCCATTAGAAGTTAAGGATTTTCCCATTAGTTACAGCTATGAAGATAGTGCCTGTTCCCTGTGGACAAGATTGCGAGAGCCAATAGACTATTAAGAAAGCCTTAACGTACCTGTTTGTTTTCATTAATAAAGAACTCTGTTGAACCTTTAAGCAATCTAAAGACTCTGTTTAAGAAAATCCAAAGGCCTTTAATCTGAGGCAGCCCCCGCGTCCTGTTGGGCACACAGAATTTATGTCCTGTCTACAGTCTTATGCACAGGCCCAGCGTGCAACAGCACATCTAATCTCAAGCATTTGGACAAGGGATACTCTACCTGTACTAAGATATTGTTCTTTCTGGGCCTGTCCAACCTTATGTTTAATCTGCATAACTCATTTTTGCCATTTTCTTGTTTCTTCTTACAGACCAAGTGCGAAACAGCTATTACATTGGTGCAGATGGGTCTCTACGGCTCATTTTGGCGAATGGCATGGAGGTAGCGCTGCAGACTGAGCCCCACTTGCTGGCTGGCACAGTGAACCCCACGGTGGGGAAGAGGAATGTTACTCTCCCCATAGACAATGGTCTCAACCTGGTTGAGTGGAGGCAGCGGAAAGAGCAAGCCAGGGGCCAGATCACAGTATTTGGACGCAGGCTGAGGGTAAGTGAATAAACCCCACGTGATTCCTATATTAAGAAAGTCAGTGTGGTGGAATGGTTCAAGCATCGGACTATGACTCAAGAGTTGTTGTTTACTCGTTCAGTCGCTTCCGACTCTTTTGTGACCTCATGGACCAGCCCACACCAGAGCTCCCTGTTGGCCATGGCCACCCCCAGCTCCTTCAAAGTCAAGCCACTCACTTCAAGGATCCCATCCATCCATCTTGCCCTTAGTCTGCTCCTCTTCCTTTTTCCTTCCATTTTCCCCAGCATCATTCCCTTCTCCAAACTTTCCTGTCTTCTCATTATGTGGCCAAAGTACTTCATCTTTGCCTCTAATATCCTTCCCTCCAATGAGCAGTCGGGATTTATTTCCTGGAGTATGGACTGGTTGGATCTTCCCGCGATCTGAGGCACTCTCAGGATTTTCCTCCAACACCATAGTTCAAAAGCGTGTATCTTCCTTGGCTCAGCCTTCCTTATGGTCCAGCTCTCACATCCATAGGTTACTATGGGGAATAGCATTGATTAAACTATGCTAACCTTCATTGCCAGTATGATGTCTCAACTCTTCATTATTTTAAAATTCTATCAGCTTATGTCCCACTACATCCCAAACCATGCTTGCCTGTGATCCCAGTTATCATTTGACTACCCACTTTAGCATTCCAGTCTCCTGTAATGAAAATAATGTTTCTTTTTGGTGTATATATGTGTGTATATTTGTGTATTTGTGTTTATATGTGTACATGCATATTGCATATATGTGTGTGCTTGTCTATATGCATATTTGTGTGTATATCTGTGCGTGTGTATGTATGTGTATATGTGTGCATGTGTATATGTATATGTGTGTATAAATAATAATAATAATAATAATAATAATAATAATAATAATAATAATCTTTATTTATATCACAACCCCTCTCCAGTAGGACTCAGGGTGGCTTCCATGAGGCCAAGCCCAAACACAATACAATAATTTTTTTTTGTTGTGTCAGGAGCAACCTGAGAAACTGCAAGTCGCTTCTGGTGTGCGAGAACTGGCTGTCTGCAAGGACGTTGCCCAGGGGATGCCCGGATGATTTGATGTTTCATCATCCTTGTGGGAGGCTTCTCTCATGTCCCCGCATGAGGAGCTGGAGCTGATAGAGGGAGCTCATCCGCCTCTCCCCGGATTCGAACCTGTGACCTGTCGGTCTTCAGTCCTGCCGGCACAGGGGTTTAACCCACAGCGCCACCAGAGGACTACAGTAAATGAAGTCAAAACACAAATGAAGACTACAATAAATTGACTACAGTAAATGAAGTCAAAACACAACAACAACATAATAAATTACACAAAACATAAAAATACAGCAAACTATATGTGTGTGTGCATGTGGATATGTATATATGTGAGTATGTATATGTCTGTGTGTATATGCATATATTTCTGTGTGTTTGTGCATATATATATGTGTGTGTGTATGAATGTGTGCATGTGTATATGTATATATGTGAGTATGTATATGTATGTGTGTGTATGTGTATATTTGTGTGTGTTTGTGCAAATATATACGTGTGTGTGTGTGTATGAATGTGTGCGTGTATATGTATGTATGGTGTATTTTGGGGGGCTTTTAAGTCTGTTCCACTGGGGTTTTGTTTGTGTGTGTGTGTGTGTTGTTTAGGGGTGAGAGATACTCGTTGGACTGTTAGGTATATTGTGTCCAAATTTCGTGCCAATTCGTCCAGTGGTTTTTGAGTTATGTTAATCCCACAAATGAACATTACATTTTTATTTATATAGATTATATATGGTAAAGATAACATCACTTTGTACAGATTTCTATAATTCCCTGGCCTGAGGATGCTAAGAACCGTCGTTCAAAGTGGTGACATTTTCTGAACTCTGCCTTTCTTGATCTCCTTTCCTCCCTGGGAAGCAGTACTTCTAGAATCCTAGAGCTGGAAGGGATCCCAAGGGCTCTCTGGTCCAATTACTATGCAGGAATAGACAGCTAAAACACTCCCGAGAGATCCATCTAATCTCTGAGTAAAGATCTTCAAAGGAGGACATCCGCTAAGGCAATCTGTTCCACTGCTGAACAGCACACGGTGTCAGGAAATTCTTTTTCAATATTAATCTCCCTTTTTTGACAATTTCAGTTTTAATTCCTCGTTTGATAATTTGAATCCACTGATTCATATCTTAGTCTCTGAAGCAGCAGGAAACAGTCTCGCTCCGTTTTCTTTAATACATTCATTCAAATATTTAAAGATAACGATCACATCACCTCTCCGTCTTCCCTTTTCCAAGCTATACCTATCCAGCTCTCTGAAGGGCTCCTGATAGGACTTGTCTTTTTTACCATCTTGGTCACCCTCTTCTGAATGCATTCCAACTCATTAATATCCTTCTTGAACTGTGGTTCCCAGAGCGTCACAAAATATACACATGAAAGGGAACGAGGAGCCTAAGTAGACCATAAGCTGAACATGAGCCTACAGTGTGATGTGGCAGCTTAAAAAGCCAGTGCCATTCTATCCTGCATCAATAGGAGTATAGTGTCTAGATCAGGCATAGGCAAACTTGCCCCCCCCCCCATGTGTTTTGGACTTCAACTCCCACAGCTGGTAGGCTTTTAGGAATTGTGGGAGGTCCAGGCATCCTCATATTGTGGCCCTCCAGTTGTTTGGGCCTCCAACTCCCAGAAGCCCTAACAAGATTGGGTTGTTGTAGGTTTTTTCGGATATATGGCCATGTTCTAGAGGCATTTTCTCCTGATGTTTTGCCTGCATCTATGGCAAGCATCCTCAGAGGTAGTGAGGTCTGTTGGAAACTAGGAAAAAGGGTTTATATATCTGTGGAATGACCAGGGTGGGACAAAGGACTCTTGTCTGCTGGAGCTAGGTGTGAATGTTTCAACTGACCACCTTGATTAGCATTAAATGGCCTGACAGTGCCTGGAGCAAACCTTTTGTTGAGAGGTAATTAGATGTCCCTGCCTGCTTCCTCTCTGTTGTTTTGCTGTTGCAATTTTAGAGGGCTTTTTTAATACTGGTAGCGCGATTTTGTTCATTTTCATGGTCTCCTCCTTTCTGTTGAAATTGTCCACATGCTTGTGTATCAATGGCTTCTCTGTGTAGTCTGACATGGTGGTTGTGAGAGTGGTCCAGCATTTCTGTGTTCTCAAATAATATGCTGTGTCCAGGCTGGTCCATCAGGTGCTCTGCTATGGCTGACTTCTCTGGTTGAAGTAGTCTGCAGTGCCTTTCATGTTCCTTGATTCATGTTTGAGCAATGCTGCTGCGTTTGGTGGTCCCTATGTAGACTTGTCCACAGCTGCATGGTACACGGTAGACTCCTGCAGAGGTGAGAGGATCCCTCTTGTCCTTTGCTGAACGGTAGCATTTGTTGGATTTTCTTGGTGGGTCTGTAGATAGTTTGTATGTTGTGTTTCCTCATCAGCTTCCCTATGCGGTCAGTGGTTCCCTTGATGTATGGCAAGAACACTTTTCCTCAGGGTGGATCTTCGTCTTTGTTCTCGTGGCTTGGTCTCGGTCAACCCAGTGATTCCGACCATGAAAGCCTTCGACAATACACCTAACAAGATTGTTCCGTTGTCAGGAATTCTGGGAATTGAAGGCCCAAACAGCTGGAGGGCTGCAGTTTGAGGATGCCTGTCCTAGTCCCAGACTATTCTGCTTTGGCCATACCTTGCCTGCAATACTATGTTCAGTTCAGGAAGGATGTTGACAAGCTGGAACATGTCCAGAGGAGGAGAACCAAAACAGTAAAAGTCCTGAAAACCATGAATTTCTATAATGAGTGGCTTGGGGAGCTGAATATGTTTAGTCTGGAAAAGAGAAAGTTAAGAGGAGACATGATAGCCATGTTTAAATGTTTGAAAGGATGTCAAGTTGGAGATTTTCTTTCTACTGCTCCAGAGACTAGGACATGGAGCAAGGGATCCAAGCAGCAAGGAAAGAAATTGCTAATATATTTATTTATCATGTCAGGAACAAACCAAACAATTGTATTGCATTTTTAACAAACAAAGAAAACACAAAGTTTGCAAGCTTGGTAGTTGATTAGATGTCCTTGGACCAGTATCTGGCCACTTTGCGTGCCTGTGGTGTTACTATAAGTAGGTCCTCCACTGTGCATGTAGCAGGGCTCAGGTTGCATTACAGTAGGTGGTCTGTAGTTTGCTCTTTTCCACATGTCATGGATTCCACTTTGTGGCCCCATTTCTTAAGGTTGGTTCTGCATCTTGTGGTTCCAGAGTGCAGTCTGTTCAGCACCTTTCAAGTTGCCCAGTTTTCTGTGTGCCCAGGGGGTAGTCTCTCATTTGGTATCAGCCATTGAGGTTCTGGGTTTTAGCCTGCCACTTTTGAACTCTTGCTCGCTAAACCTTAATAACGTAAACCTTCATAAAAATCTCCTGAAAGTAAGAACTCAAAAGTAAGAACTGGTGGCATCTCCTTCTCTGGAGGTTTCAAAGCAGAGGCTGGATAGCCATCTATAGAGAGTGTTTGGGTTTGGAGTAGATGGTCCTTGGGGTTTCTTCCAACTCTAGGATTCTGTGATTGTATTCCAGGTCAGTTTAGAGATTTGTCCATGACAACAACAAAGATTGGGATTCATTGCATCTTTAGTCAGGTTTTATTTCATACTGTTCACCCGCCACGCGTTGCTGTGGCCAACCTTCCTCTTTCTCTCCTTCCTTTCTCTCCTTCTTTTCCTCCCTCTTTCCTTCCTTCCTTCCTTCCCTTTTTTTCTTTCATTCTCTCCTTTCTTCCCCCTTCCTTATCTTCCTTTTTCCTTCCTTTCCCCCTTTTCCTTCCCTTCCTCTTTCTCCCCTTTCTTCCTTCTCTACCTATTCTTGGACTGCAACTCCCAGCAGTCCTCCTGAATATCTATCTATCTATCTATCTATCTATCTATCTATCTATCTATCTCCATCTAATCTATCTTTCTGGAGGATTGGTGGGAGTTGCAGTCCAGAATAGGATATTGAAAACATGCAGGAATTGGGATGCTTTCAAAGAAATCCATGGAGACAGGCATGTAGCGGGGGGGCTTGAGGGGCTTCAGCCCCCCCCCCCCAAATTCTCATGGTGGTCGCGAAAAGGCCTTACTGGTGCATTATTTAAACTGTTATGTTTATTCATATCATGATCTGATCACCATACTCAATATATCCCATATGCATGGGGGTATTGGGCTAATGATACAAAAGGTTTGCTAGGCTAGACCCTCTTTCACTCAGACTCACCCCCCCCCCCCCCCCCCCCCCCCCCCCCCCCCCCCGAAAAAAATTCAGCCCCCCCCCAAACGAAATCCTGGCTACGGGCCTGCATGTAGAAGAAAGCTTGCATCTTGGAAGCAGTGCATTTGGATCATCCTCCTCTCCTAAAGGGCCTGGTCTAGGGGATGTTGGGAGCTGTAGTCCAAAAAAGAGTGTGGATTTGCTTTTGTGTGTTTTGTTTGCCAGGGGGAGTTGTTTTTGCGCATGCACTGTAGCATCTTTTTACTTTTTTTGGCCTTTTAAATCCCTTTTGTTGTGTTTTTCGGTGTTTTTTATGAGTGATGGTCACTTGTTGGCCTGATAAGGGTATTGTGTCCAAATTTGGTGTCAATTCGTCCAGTGGTTTTGAGTTACGCTAATCCCACAAATGAACATTACATTTTTATTTATATAGATGTGTTTCTGCAAATAAAATGTCACTGTTATCCTAATACTAGAAGTGGATATGCTCATATATAGGATATGAGTCTCAGGTGAAGCTGAGACTCATATCCTATATATTCCGATGACCGACAATCCATTCTCCCTGCCCCAAATAGTATACCCTCATCTGGGCCACAGTTAAGCAAGAGTAACTGGAAGACTCCTTCTAGTTTATAATTCCTGACCCACTTCTCGGTGCTTGTGTGCACCCACCATTTTGCAGGCTAGCAACATCTTTTAAAAGCTCTCCAGTCTTCCTATCATTCTGGACCTCTAATTGGTCCTCTGGCTGCTAGAGATTGATCATCTTGCTCTTCAAGTAGGTTAAAAATCCATAACGAGTGGTTCTGTCAAGCATTGGGACTTCTCCGTGATGCAAAACCCTTGCTCTTAATGCTGCTCTAGATAATGCCAGCTCCTTCACAAAAATCCAAACCTCTTAAGCATGCCGTAGATATAACCATTTCTCACTTGGGGACTTGCAGATGATGCCTTCATAGTTATGGATCTGCCTGAGTCATTGCTTTGATTTATTCAACCTGGGACATGCAAATGAAGGCTTGCCTCGGTGTTTTTGGCTGGAGTCTGCTGGCAAAAGAGCAACTGTGGAGTTCACAGCAACAGATTGTACCGAGTAAAATCACAGAGTTGGAAGAGACCCCAAAAGCCACCAACCCCATTCTGTCACCCAACAGATGGCCGTCCTACTTTGCTTTAAAATCTCCAAAGAAGACTCCAGGGCAACATATTCTGTGGTTGAATGGCCAGGAAGATTTCCTAATATTCAGGTGGAATCTGTGGGTTGGATCCACTATTCCGTGTCCTAGTCTCTGGAGCTGCAAAAAGCAGACTTTAAGATAACATACTTCCAAATATGTAAACATGGTTATTGGATCCCCTCTTAACCTCCTCTTCTCCAAGACAAACATACCAAGCTATTATTATTATTATTATTATTATTATTATTATTATTAACAACGGAGCCCCCAGTGGTGCAGTGGGTTAAACCCCTGTGCCGGCAGGACTGAAGATCGACAGGTTGCAGGTTCAAATCTGGGGAGAGGCGGATGAGCTCCCTCTATCAGCTCCAGCTCCTCATGCGGGGACATGAGAGAAGCCTCCCACAAGGATGATAAAAACATCAAAATCATCCAGGCATCCCCTGGGCAACGTCCTTGCAGACGGCCAATTCTCACAAACCAGGAGTCACTCCTGACACGACAAAAAAAAATTACAACAACAACAACACTTTATTTATATTCCACCCTTCTCACCCCGAAGCAAACATTCAATGCCGCTTTGTATAGACAATACACAGACAGACAGAACAGAAAGGAGGCGTGTTGTTTCAACTCAGTGTTCAGCTGTTTTGGTGCCATGGAAGGTTGGACTCGAGTCCAGCCACAGGAGGTGCTGTCATTCCATCCTCTATGACAAAGAGCTATCAGGACTTCCTCCTTCCTTATGGTCACCCAGCATTTTCTGATCTTCTTTCTTAATGGCATTGTAAAACACCTCCCCCACTTTTAGCCGTACCTAATTTCTCTTAATTACAGCTAAAGCTGTTTTTGAACTGCTTAGGTAAACAGTGAGCTGGGCTGACAGTCGGCAGCTCATGCCAACCATGGGCTTTGATCTTGCAACCTTTTGGTTGATAGATCTTATAGTTGCTGGTGATTTACCAACTGAGCTAAACCTCTGGCTCTTTAGGCCATTCCTCATAGGGTATGGCTTCCAAACCTTTCACCATTTTGGTTGACCTTCTTTGGACACATTCCAGCGTGTCGGATTGCAGTGTCCAGAAATGGAGGCAGGATTCCAGGTTCAATCCGACGAAAGCAGAATAGAGTGAGACTATGACTCCCCTCAGTCCAGACACTATACTCCTATTGATGCAGCCTAGAATCACATTGACTTTTTTCAGGTCTCAGGCCATTTTACCAATCGGTTTCACTTCCCATGACCTCATTTTGGGGTTAAGAAAAACGACAGCATCAGATATCTCAACATATAACATGTCGATTGGCCCTGAGTGGTTAAATAAACAAAAAATTGAACATTGTATGGGAAAAACCAGGCTTCAACAAGGAGCTAATGATAATATGAGGATATTTTTGCAGTTCACATTAGCTATTCTGTTAACCCAGTGTATCCACAAGTTCTGCCTCCACAGATTCAACCATCAGTTGCTTAAATTGTGTGTAGGTACTTGTTTATATTTCAAAATCCTCTTACCTGAACTGTTTAAGTTGCTATATTGTTATAAATTACTTAATGAATCTATCTGGGGGCTAACCTATGTATTTTAAGGGTTTAAAATGCTTTAAAATGTGGGTAATGTCTATCCTTTGTAGGTGTTCCAGTTCTTACTCCTGCCCCTTTCTGTCGCAGGTTCACAACAGAAACTTGCTCTCCCTTGACTTTGACCGTGTGACAAGGACAGAGAAAATCTACGACGACCATCGCAAATTCACCCTGAGGATCCTGTATGATCAGGCCGGCCGCCCCAGCCTTTGGTCTCCGAGCAGCAGGCTGAATGGCGTGAACGTCACTTATTCCTCCGGAGGACATATTGCTGGGATCCAAAGGGGAACCATGTCAGAAAGGATGGAGTATGACCAGTCTGGAAGGATCACATCCCGGATCTTTGCTGATGGCAAATCATGGAGTTATACATATTTAGAGAAGGTAAACAGCACTTCTGAAAAATAATGAAAAATTGGGCAAAATCACTATTTGGAGGGCCAATGCCCTCATTTTGCACACACAACCCATAGCTATATCCTTGAGTGTTTCCTCTGCCCCATTACAAAAATCATATGAAAATGGAAAAGATTGTAAGTCATTTTTATTATTATAACAGTGGCTGGAATTCACTTTCACTGTTACAGATGCATAATCTAGAGCAGGTATGGGCAAACCCAGGACCAGGGAGTGGATGCAGCCCCTTGGGCTCTTTTCTCAGGCCCTCCTCTCTCTTACCATCCTATTCTTCCTTCCTTCTCTTTCCTTCCTCCTTCCCTCCCTTTTTTATCTCCCTCTTTCTCCCGCCCTCCTTCCATCCCTTCCACCCTTTTGTCCTTACTTCCCTCTTTCCTCCCACCTTTCCTCTCTCTCTTTTTCCTTCCTTCTTTCCTTACTTCCCTTTTGTCTTTCYTTCCTTCTCTCTTTCCTYCYTCCTTCCCTCCCTYYYTWCCTTTTTACCTCTCTYTCCCACCCTCCTTCCTWCYCTTCCACCCTTTYGTCCTTACTTCCCTCWTTCCTCCCACCTTTCCTCTCTCTCTCTTTCTCCTTCCTTCCTTCCTTCCCTTTTGTCTTTCCTTCCTTCTCTCTTTCCTCCTTCCTTCCCTCCCTTCCTTTTTACCTTCTCTCTCTCCCACCCTCCTTCCTTCCCTTCCACCCTTTTGTCCTTACTTCCCTCCTTCCTCCCACCTTTCCTCTCTTTCTCCTTCCTTCCTTCCTKCCTKCCTKCCTKCCTKCCTKCCTGCCTTCCATCCTTCCTTCCTTCCTTCCKTCYYTCCTTCCTTCCTYYCTTYCTTCYYTCCTTCCCTTTTGYCTCTCCTTCCTYCTCTCTYTCTYYTCTCCTCTCCTCTCCTCTCCTCTTCCTCCATTCCCTTCCACTCTTCCTTTCCTTCATCCTTCTCTTTTTCCTTCCTCCTTTCYTCCTGGGGAATGTTTAGCTGGGAGAAGACAAGGTAGAGAGGGAACATGACAACCACATTTCAAGATATAAAAGAATGAAGCGGGGAAACTGACTTTCTGCTCCTCTAAAGACCAGGGCACAAGGGAGAAATGGGTTCAAATGGCAGGGAAAGAGATTTGACTGAAAGGATTAGGAAGAACTTCCTAAGAGTAAGAGAGGAAGAACTTCCGGAGAGTGGCATAGGCTGCTTTAGAGTGTGATTGAGGCTTTTCCACAGAGGTTGTCTATTGGGAGTGCTTTGATTGTGCCTTCTTGCATGGCTGGGGTTGGACTGGATGGTCCTTGGGGGTCTCCTCCAGCGCTAGGATTCTTAATAAGGAGTAGGCAATATGGGGCCTCATGGATACACTTTTTCCTCTCCCGTCTACCATCTCATCCTAACCAAGGCCAACCCTTTTGGGATCCAAATGTTTCCCATCTTTCCTTCAACTTTCTGCCTCGAAAAGAGAAGAGGAAGGGGAGGAAAGGGCAGGGAGAGGGCTTGGGGAGAATTCCCTCCCTCCCAGCTTGCCTACCCCACTCCAGCCCACCATGCAGCCCCTAAGTTAGAAAGTTTGCCCATGCCTGATCTAAAGGTACATATCCATAACTGGTTTGTATCATTGTCTCTTCATATTCATGTCCGAGGCCCTATTGCCACAATTGTTAAAGTTTTTCAGTCCTGCTTTTCCATGCAGCAGCTGTTGCAAGCGATGGAGGTCTATTCTCCTATCAAATGGTGTAGCATACTGACATTTCCAATCCTCCCTCCTGCCAGCAGTTTCCAGTCTTAAGAAGAAGCGGGGATCCTGCTTCTGATTGGAGATTTTTATTGGGCATGGACATGCAGCAGCTGTTGCAAGCAATGGAGGTCTTTTCTCCTCTCAAATGGTGTAGCATACTGACATTTCCAATCCCCTCTCCTGCCAGCATTTCCCAGTCTTAAGAAGAAGCGGGGATCCTCCTTCTGATTGGAGATTGTTATTGGGCATGATCATGCAGCAGCTGTTGCAAGCGATGGAGGTCTTTTCTCCTATCAAATGGTGTAGCATACTGACATTTCCAATCCCTCTCCTGCCAGCATTTTCCAGTCTTAAGAAGAAGTGGGGATCCTCCTTCTGATTGGAGATTGTTATGCAGCAGCTGTTGCAAGCAATGGAGGTCTATTCTATCAAATTGTGTAGCATACTGACATTTCCAATCCTCTCTCCTGCCAGCATTTTCCGGTCTTGCGGGATTTTTCAGCTTTCCGCAGGGCTTGTAAGACATATTTGTTTCGACAGGCCTTCGATCTTTGATATGTTGATTTAAATTGTGTTAGATTCGAGTTTGTTTCTTGTAAGCCACTCCGAGCCCTAGGGGAGTGGCGGCATATAAGTTTGAATAATAAATAAATAAAGAAGAAGAAGCGGGGATCCTGCTTCTGACTGGAGATTGTTATTGGGCATGGTTATGCAGCAGCTGTTGCAAGCAATGGAGGCCTATTCTATCAAATGGTGTAGCATACTGACATTTCCAATCCTCTCTACTTCCAGCATTTTCCAGTCTTAAGAAGAAGCGAGGATCCTGCTTCTGATTGGAGTTTGTTATTAGGAATCTTCCATCTTCTGAATACCAGTTGACAGGAGAAAAGATCTCTGTCACCTACAGTAGTTAATCACCCATAAAGCTGGAAAGGAAAATCATGCCAGGAAGCACTACTTAGTTATTTATACAAAATAGCTAATCAATGATCTTAGTCAAAGTTTTTTAAAATGTTTTTTTAAAAGGTTCAAGTTCTTCAGGGCTAAAAAATGAATATTTCTAACTATTTTTCTTTTCTGATTACAGTCGATGGTCCTGCTCCTTCACAGTCAACGTCAGTACATTTTCGAATTTGATAAGAATGACCGCTTGTCATCTGTGACCATGCCCAATGTAGCCCGGCAGACTTTGGAGACCATTCGCTCCATTGGCTATTATAGGAACATCTATAGGCCCCCAGAGGGAAATGCTTCAGTCGTTGAGGATTTCAATGAGGAACGGCAACTCCTCCATACTTATCATTTGGGAACAGGGAGGCGTGTCATCTACAAGTATGGCAAGCTATCAAAGTTGGCTGAAATGCTTTATGACACAACCAAAATCAGCTTCACTTATGATGAAACGGCAGGCATGCTGAAGACGATCAACCTGCAGAACGAAGGGTTCACTTGCACCATTCGGTATCGACAGATTGGACCTCTCATTGATCGGCAGATCTTCCGCTTCACAGAGGAAGGCATGGTGAATGCTCGCTTTGACTACAACTATGACAACAGCTTCCGGGTGACCAGCATGCAAGCGGTGATCAATGAGACCCCGTTGCCCATTGACCTCTACCGGTACGATGACGTATCAGGCAAAACCGAGCAGTTTGGCAAATTTGGAGTCATCTATTATGATATCAATCAGATCATCACGACAGCTGTGATGACCCACACTAAGCATTTTGATGCCTACGGTAGAATGAAGGAAGTGCAGTATGAGATATTCCGGTCCCTCATGTACTGGATGACTGTGCAGTATGACAACATGGGGCGAGTGGTGAAAAAGGAACTGAAGGTTGGCCCCTATGCAAACACAACGAGATATTCGTATGAGTATGACGCTGATGGTCAGCTACAGACTGTGTCAATCAATGAGAAGCCCCTTTGGCGGTACAGTTATGACCTCAATGGGAATCTCCATTTGTTGAGTCCTGGCAACAGTGCCCGCCTCACCCCACTGCGGTACGATCTCAGGGACAGGATTACAAGATTAGGGGATGTACAGTACAAAATGGACGAGGATGGCTTCCTGAGACAGAGGGGAAATGACATTTTCGAGTACAATTCCGCCGGGCTGCTCATCAAGGCATACAACAAAGCCAATGGTTGGAGCGTAAAATATCGTTACGACGGACTTGGAAGGAGGGTCTCCAGCAAAACTGTCCACGGCCACCATTTGCAATTCTTTTATGCCGATCTCACCAACCCCACCAAAGTCACCCACCTGTACAATCACTCCAGTTCTGAGATAACCTCCCTCTATTATGACCTTCAGGGCCATCTCTTTGCGATGGAGCTAAGCAGTGGGGATGAGTTTTACATTGCTTGCGACAACATTGGAACTCCGTTGGCCGTCTTCAGTGGGACAGGCTTGATGATCAAGCAGATCCTGTACACAGCATATGGTGAGATCTATATGGACACCAACCCAAACTTTCAAATTATTATTGGCTACCATGGAGGCCTGTATGACCCCCTCACCAAACTCATACATATGGGGAAGAGGGACTACGACGTTCTGGCCGGCAGATGGACCAGCCCGGACCATGGCATTTGGAAGCGTCTAAGCAGCAGCAACATAATGCCTTTCAATCTTTACATGTTCAAGAATAACAACCCTATTAGTAACACTCAGGATATCAAGTGCTATATGACAGGTAAGATTCATTTGGGGGCCAATTTTCCAACTTCCAGACCTTGATTATGTGGATGTTTTGCAAACAAAGTATGTACTTTGCCACTGGGTTTTATTGCTGTACCTTCCACACGTTCTTGTGGCCAACCTTCCCTCCCTCTTTCTCTCCTTTCTTTCTCTTCGTTCCTTCCCTCTTTCTTTCCTTCCTTCCTTCCTTCCCTTTTTTTCTTTCATTCTCTCCTTTCTATCTCCCTTCCTTCTCTTCCCTTCCTTTCCCCCTTTTCTTTCCCTTCTCCTTTCTCCCCTTTTTTCTTTCTCTACCTATTCTTGGACTGCAACTCCCAGCAGTCCTCTTGATCAATCTATCTGCCTACCTACCTATCTCTATCTAATCTATCTTATCTATCTGGAGGATTGCTGGGAGTTGCAGTCCTGGAAGAGGAAATTGTAAATACGCAGGGATTGGGATGCTCTCAAAGAAATCCAACTGGATATAGTGAAATTGTGAAGACAGGATGTTTACAAAAACAAGCAGTGGCAGAAAGTGATCCACAAAGAGCTATGGCATACAAACTCACTGGTATTGAAACAGCAATGTTTCAAACTATGTAGGTCACACCTGAGCCATATATCCTATTACAATATCCCAGCTGGTATTGTGTCAGCTGAACATGTCAAGATGTTTTAGTACATAGCTCCAAATCTTTTGTATATGTTTAATTTAGCTGGAAATTACTAGAAACTGAAAACTTCCATACTATTTGCTTACCTTAGCTCTACCATGTGCAGGCTTTATAATCACTTTCTGACATTTCTCTTTCACTAGACAAACAGTTGTATCTCAGGCGGCCTGTGTCCTGGGATAAATCTAGACTGTAGAATTAATGCATTTTGACACCACTTTAATTATTATGGCTCAGTGCTATGAAACCATGGGAGTTGTGCTTTGGTGAGGCACCAGCAATCTTTGGCAGAGAAGGCTAAAGACCTTGTAAAACTGCAATTTCCTTATTCCATAACATGGCTTCAAACTACAAGAAAGGAGATTCCATCTGAACATGAGGAAGAACTTCCTGACTGTGAGAGCCGTTCAGCAGTGGAACTCTCTGCCCCGGAGTGTGGTGGAGGCTCCTTCTTTGGAAGCTTTTAAACAGGGGCTGGATGGCCATCTGTCAGGGGGGTGATTTGAATGCAATATTCCTGCTTCTTGGCAGAATGGGGTAGGACTGGATGGCCCATGAGGTCTCTTCCCATTCTTTGATTCTATGATTCTATGATTCTATGACGGATTCTCCTCAGCTTCTCTGTTTTTCTCCCACTCCTTCCCACATCCCTTCCTGCACATTAAAGGATGATTAATGGCAACACTGTGCGCATCAGCTGGCAGCCCAGATTCTAAATTGCATCTAAATAAACTGCATTAAGGATATTTGCTCCCAGAGAGTAAAATCTAAATTCCTCCTAATCGTGACCTTTTTGATCAAGCCTCTTAAAAATAACAATGTGATTAAGCGTTAATTCATCCATGCAAATTGCTATTTAAGGTCTACCGAAAAACAAGTATTCCATGCCTTAAATATAGGCCAGACCAGAGGGACTGTAGCCTTTGACCAAACTAACTAAACTCCACTGGAATCAGCAGAATTAATTGGAGTAAGTGATTTGAAGGTCAAAGAAGCGTGTGTTGGGGGAAAACAAGCAAAATAGTTCAAAGAGAACGATGGTATTGGCAGAGTAGAAAGTACAGTTATTCCTCTACTTTGGCACAGTTAGGAGCACAGGCTCTCTGCAATAGTGGGGGAAAAAACATGAATATCTCCAGGGGGAATGGGCCACTACCACTGTGATCTTTAGGGAGCTCTCTTTTTACGGACCCTATTTATGCCCAGGTTATTTGAGAAAGTGAATAATGGCGGTTCTGTATGGCAAGTTTGGTCTTTATTGGTCATTGGATGAGGGTTGCATTGTTTTCAGGAAGTGAGTGAAGGTACTTGAAGTCCTATCATTCATTGTCCACCCTCCTCCAAACTGCAGCAGGATGTAGAGTGGGTCATGGGGGCTCTGTGTGCCAAGTTTGGTCTTGATCGGTCATTGGATGAGGGTCGCAGTGGTTTCAGTAAGTGAATGAAGGTACGGGAAGTCCCATCATTCATGGTCCATCCTCCTTCAAACTGCAGCAGGATGTAGAGTGGGTCATGGGGGCTCTGTGTGCCAAATTTGGTCTTGATCGGTCATTGGATGAGGGTCGCAGTGGTTTCAGTAAGTGAGTGAAGGTACTGAAAGTCCCATCATCCATGGTCCATCCTCCTTCAAACTGCAGCAGGATGTAGAGTGGGCCATGGGGGCTCTGTGTGCCAAGTTTGGTTTTTATTGGTCATTGGATGAGGGTTGCAGTGGTTTCAGTAAGTTAGTGATGGTACAGCAAATCCCATCATCCATGATCCATCCCCTTAGAAGTGGATCAGGACTAGCTTAGGGATCCGGCGCTGCCCATGTTATTTGAGAAAGTGGATAATGGTGGTTCTGTATGGCAAGTTTGTTCTTTATTGGTCATTGGATGATGGTTGCATTGTTTTCAGGAAGTGAGTGAAGTTACTTGAAGTCCCATCATCCATGGTCCACCCTCCTCCAAACTGCAGCAAGACGTAGAGTGGGTCATGGGGGGTCTTTATCGGTCATTGGATGAGGGTTGCAGTGGTTTCAGTAAGTGAATGGAGATACTGCAAGTCCCATCATCCATGGTCCAGCCTCCTTCAATCTGCAGCAGGATGTAGAGTGGGTCATGGGGGCTCTGTGTTCCAAGTTTGGTCTTGATCAGTCATTGGATGAGGGTTGCAGCTGTCTTGGAAGTGATTGGAGAAACTTCAAGTCCCATCATCCATGGTCTGGCCTCCACGAAAGTGCAGTAGGATGTAGAGTGGGTCATGGGGGCTCTGTGTGTCAAGTTTGGTCTTTATCGGTCATTGGATGAGGATCGCAGTGGTTTCAGTAAGTGAGTGAAGGTACTGCAAGCCCCATCATCCATGGGAAATTTTGAAAGTTTTGTTAGAGTTCTGAAATTTTCACCACCAGAACTTTAGCAACACTGTAGAAGCAAAGCATCAGCACCATGTAGTTTTGTAAGTACTTTAGAACCATTTAGGACCATGGATTGCTGATACCTATTAAAACTTGACATTATACTAAATTTTGTTTCATCACAATCTGGCCACTTGGAGTGCCTCTGGTGTTGCTGTAAGAAGGTCCTCCATTCTGCATGTGGCGGAATCTTGGTGGTGGTGGCGACAATGATGGACATACAGGGAAATTTTGAGCTTGTTTAGTGCAAACACTGCACTACAAAACATATTAGTATAAAAGTTAATCTCTCATGTTTCCCCCTCCCCACCCCAAAGTGATAGTGATTGTAACCATTTATTTATTTATTTATTGTGTCAGGGGCAACCACACAATTGTATTACATTTCTAACAGAAAAAAACAAACAAACAGACAAAACACAAAATTTGCAAGCTTGGTAGTTGCTTAAATGTCCTTTGACCAGTATCTGGCCACTTGGAGTGCCTCTGGTGTTGCCGCAAGAAGGTCCTCTATCGTGCATGTGGCAGGGCTCAGGGTGCATTGCAGCAGGTGGTCAGTGGTTTGCTCTTCTTCACACTCGCATGTCGTGGATTCCACTTTGTAGCCCCATTTCTTAAGATTGGCTCTGCATCTCGTGGTGCCAGAGCGCAGTCTGTTCAGTGCCTTCCAAGTCCCAGTCTTCTGTGTGCCCAGGGGGGAGTCTCTCATTTGGTATCAGCCATTGGTTGAGGTTCTGGGTTTGAGCCTGCCACTTTTGGACTCTTGCTTGCTGAGGTGTTCCAGAGAGTGTCTCTGTAGATCTTAGAAAACTATTTCTTGATTTAAGTCGTTGACATGCTGGCTGATACCCAAACAAGGGATGAGCTGGAGATGTCCTTTCACTGCTCAAGCAAGGAGCTTTGAGATGGTAGAACAGAAGCTCTCCGAAGCTCTAGGTGCTCTTACTGCCTATTACAGGGAAAACCAGCTGATCCCTAATCCATCTAAAACACAGACATGTGCCTTTCACCTTAAGAACAGACAAGCATCCCGAGCTGTGAGGATTACCTGGGAAGGAATCCCACTGGAGCATTGCAGCGCACCCAAATACCTGAAAGTCACCCTGGACTGTGCTCTGACCTACAAGAAGCATTGCCTGAACATCAAGCAAAAAGTGGGTGCTAGAAACAATATCATACGAAAGCTGACTGGCACAACCTGGGGATCACAACCTGATACAGTGAAGACATCTGCCCTTGCGCTGATGCTACTCTGCTGCTGAGTATGCATGCCCAGTGTGGAACACATCTCACCACACTAAAACAGTGGATGTGGCTCTTAATGAGACATGCCGCATTATCACGGGGTGTCTGCGCCCTACACCACTGGAGAAATTACACTGTCTAGCCGGTATCGCACCACCTGACATCCGCCGGGAAGTAGCAACCAATAGGGATTGTAACTGAAACCGGAAAATTGGAAATTATTTTACTCTGACAAACAGCTAGCATTCCCATACACATGGGTTCAAGTCTGTAGTAGAGATACTTCCAGCTACTCATTTGTTTCAACCAGTGGGAATTTGAATCACATTGGTTCATCTGATTTAAGAGTAGATCCAGGTTGTTGTATGTTTTTTCGGGCTATATGGCCATGGTCTAGTGGCATTCTCGTGGCTGGCTGGAATCACGGGGTTGTAGGTTTTTTCGGGCTGGGGCCATGGTCTAGAGGCATTCTCTCCTGACGTTTCCTGCATCTATGGCAAGCATCCTCAGAGGTAGTGAGGTCTGTTGGAACTAGGAAAAAGGGGTTTATATATCTGTGGAATGACCAGGGTGGACAAAGGATTCTTGTCTGCTGGAGCTAGGTGTGAATGTTTCAACTGACCACCTTGATTAGCATATAATGGCCTGACAGTGCCTAAAGCAAACTTTTGTTGAGAGGTCCTTGTTTGTTTCCTCTCT